ATGTAACTATAATTACATTTTCCTGCCTGCCTTTAGATTATCCAGCCATTAAAGCCACTATTTGAGTTTCTTTCCCAAATGCCATCAGATAATGTCAGAAATAATTTGAGCATTGCAGTTTCACTCTGCTCTCAAACATTTGTCACCTGCATGGAACTAAAGTCCAAACAGTTATAAAGAATATTATATCTTATTGGCTTTCCTACAAATGTTAGGGAATGCCAGGGGTAATTTAAAAAAAAACAAGTAGAAGAGAGCATTGCATGAAAACCTCCTTTTGCTGCAGGATATCAAATGAGCTTAGCTTCACTTGATTGGTCTCCTATTGAGGCATGAGGTCTGCACACTGGTCCTAGTCATTCCTCAACACTAAGAGGCTCACCACAGGGCAACATCTGAGGGACGAATAGAGGCAGGCAACAGACGAGGAAAAGGAAAGCATACTTTTCTGTTCCTTATGCTGCATTAAAAAAAAAAGTACATATATATATATATAAATAATTTAATCACAAATATTATATTTATGGATTTCCACTTCATGCTGTGGCCCAGAAATTATGATATTTGTTTAACTTGTCAACATAATGAGGCCAATAATAAAATAAAACATAATTTATCAGTAGAATATTCCAGTATATTAGCTTATTCATTCAGTCACATAAATGGATTTCCCTTTACAGATTTCTCTATATTTATGCTTTGCCTGAATGTACTTGGATCAGCTGGATGTTATGTTTATGTCTCCAAACATGGCTGTTCCCAAAAAGGATGCTGCAGGGTGCCCTCTTGTGGACAAACTGTGTAGCATCAACTCTTATAATATGGTTGAAGGGTGTTTCTCCCATCTCTTCTTTACTCTTTAGAATTTTTCATTTATTCCCTGTTATAAATTATACTGATACATGAGCAAGTAGCTAATATCTGGTGTAAATACTGGCTTGCCAATAATCAGCTGGGCTTCAATATGCAGTAAGGCTGAAATGTAATTATGCTGCCTAATGGCTTTCACATTTGCTGCTATTACAGTTTGCTGATAAAATGTTTCTTATTTCCACTTCTATGACTTCAGGCTTTAACGGTGTAGCCATAGATGGAAATATTGGAGGATTTCATGCACGGAAACCAGATTCCACAGAATGGAGGAGCTGGACTTTCTTCCCTCTTTTTCCAACCTCTTCTAGGTATTTTATTTTATTCTATTAACTGATATCCTAATGACATCATAGAGCTCTGCATGAGCTCTCTCTCCACCTTCCTCAAATTTCTAGCACAGACAACCAGAAGTAGCTGTGAGATCAATCTCGGTTCAGTCCTGTGATCATTGAGAGGATGAATGAGATGTTGAAGATATCATGTCATCTCTTATTAGCACCTCTTCTTTCTCTGAATTTGGATCCTTAATCATAACAACTGCACTTAGACGGAGAACCATTTTCCACTTTCCCCTGTCGCCAAGGTGTTACTTGAGAACAAACAGAGCGAGAAACAGACCTGCCTGCTGTGTCAGTCAGCACTTCTCATTTTATCTGAAAGATGTGTTGAAACCTGGTGGTTACTCCCTCAGTGCAAACATGGCTCCTCTGAAAGAACACACTGATAAGACACAGAGTAAAACAAAGCCGAGATTAACACTGAAACTTTTCAGCCAGTCATGACAAAGATGTTTGTTCATGCCAGCGCAGCTGGTGCTCTCTCCACTGGGTCCTGGTGAGAGGCAGCAGCAGCTGTTACCTCTGAGGTAGCAGATGGGTCACTAAGACCTGGGGAAAAAGATCTGCTTCAAGATGTTGCCCTCCAACCCCATATCAGTGCCCCGAGAGGCAAATGCAAACGAGCAAGTCACTGGCTGGATAGCTGTGATAGAGGCTATATTATTAACTTAAAGTGAATTAGAAGTCGTTGCTCTGGACTTGTTGTAAAGCATGATCTTGTTTCAAGCTGAAAATGTCTGAAAAAAAA